TCTACTCATCGCTGTTCAAGCCTTGGTCCAACATTATCACAAGGCATAATGCCCTTTACCAGCGATGGGAGGGCATACCCATCGCTGGTTAGGCATGACCGTCGTGAGTCATTTGAGACTGATTCAATTCTTTCCTTGTTTGAAAGTCAACCTCCCACCCAGCGATGGGAAGCATGTACCCATCGATGGGTAGGTGACCATTGGCTTCAAAACTGAAGGAAAATTGGCTTACCAGCGATGGGTAAGTCCATACATCGCTGGGAAGCCAATATCCTGTAGATCCACATTTTAATCAATCCCATAAATAAAGCCAATCACTCCTTAAATGTTTTGATCCGTTGGAGCCTACTTTGGCACTATAAAAAGGGGTGTTTGGGTCTGCTTTACACACCAATTCACTTCACATTATTCATATTATCATTGCTTTCAAACAACATCATTTTCCATAGTTTTCTAGAACCAATTTGTGTGAAGTTTGAGTTGTTCTTGAGCGCACTTAGTTTACTCATTATCTACTCTTAAAGAGTGTCTTGTTCTTGAGTGTTTAGTGTTGTATACACGTTAAGGGAAGCTTGTTTCCCTTGGTCGTACGAAGGAAAGGTATTTTCCTTCGGGTTGAAGTCTTGCAGTGCGGTATCTCTGAGCAAGTCTATTGAGGCTCGTGGGACTCGAGTTCTCAGGTTGTAACGGTTTGTTAAGCACCCGTAAGCTTAACGGAAGTAGTGTAGCTCGAGAGAGTCTCTCGGGAGACTAGATTAGCCACACGTTGTGTTGAACTAGTATAAATCTTGGTGTGCTCCCTTTACGCTTTCTACGCTCTTTACGTTTCACGTTCTTAATTTTTTATTCCTGCAATTTCTACAATCAAATGCTTTTCACCCCCCTCTAGCGTTGGTCACTCATTTCTAACAATTGGTATCAGAGCCTAACTCGCGTCGAAACTTAACCGTTTGAGAGAAAAGCGATCATGGGTTCTTCTTCTAGAAATTTGTATGCAGGAATAGGTGAAGGGCAATCAACCACACGGCCACCTCTTTTTGATGGAACCAATTACACATATTGGAAAGAACGAATGAGAATCTATATTCGTTCCACAAACTTCCAATTATTGTTGGTTATCAAAAACGGGGAAGAGGTGCCGATGAAGAAAGTCGGAGATAAGTTGATCCCCAAGACCGAAGACGAGTTTGATGCCGAGGACATCAAGAAGGTCGAGAATTATGCAAAGGCAATAAACATGCTCTATTGTGCCGTAAATCCTGATGACTACCGTACCGCAAGATCTTCTACTGCTCAACCGCAAAGGAGATGTGGGACAAACTTGAGGTGACATACGAAGGAACAGACCAAGTACGTGAAGCCAAGATCGACTTCCTCACCCAAGAGTATGAGATGTTTAGGACGAAGGAGCACGAGAAGATCAACGACATGTTCGACCGATTTTCCAAGATAGTCAACGATCTTCATGCATTAAAGAAGACTTACACCGACAGGGATCTTGTGCGAAAGATCCTACAGAGCTTGACATCCGAATGGCGATCCAAGGCCGATGCCATCTATGAGTCAATCGGCACATCAAATGTCACCATCGACGGTTTAAGAGGTAATTTAAAAACTTATGAATCTACTATACTTAACCCGTCTTTGAATGATCAAAGGAAAGGCATAGCATTAAAAGCCTTCAAAGAACCAACGATGAATGACTCAAGCGACGATGATGAAGTCAAGCTTGTCATGAAGAAGTTTTGCAAACTTCTAAGGAAGAAAGAAAAGGTTGAGGATGGCCCTGTGTGCTATGGATGTGGTGAAGCCGGGCACATCAAGAACAAATGCCCAAAAAGCGGAAGGAATGCTCGTCACTTCAAAAAGCAAAGAGCATACATCTCGTGGGGTGGCGACTCCGGCGATGAGTCAAGCGAGCAAGAGGAAGACAAAGAAGCAAACCTTTGTCTCATAGCTCAAGAAGAAGATCAGAGGAGTCCGCCAACGACGAAAACCAAGAGGTATGTATTTCTTTTACCGATTCTTATTCTTTTGAAGAAATGCAAGTGTTGTATTTAGGTGNTATGTATTTCTTCTACCGGTTCTTATTCTCTTGAAGAAATGCAAGAAGCTCTCCAAGAGCTTTATGACGAGTTTGTTAGCGCTTCTAAAACCAACAAAGCTTTAAAGAAACGTTTTTCTAATCTTGAAACTGAAATTGAAAAACTTCAAAAGGAAAACGAAAAACTAAAAGAGGAAAATAAATTTTATGGTAAAAGAAGCGCCGACAAACCCGAGAGCTCTACGAAACATTGTGACTCTTGCATAGCTTGGATAGAACAAGTTGCTGAACTAGAAAACGCGGTGAAGAAATTTAATAAACCACATAAGGATCTTAATCTCGTTTTTGATTCTATGCAATACACTAAACAAGGAATAGGTTTTGGGAAGATTGATGAACCTAAAAATAAAGAAAAAGTTGAGCACAACTGTAAACCACCTAGAGCTCAACCTAAGAAAGATAAAAATAAAAATAATAGACAACCTAGACAAAAGGTTAGTCATGAACACAAGCACTCTAGGCAACCTAGGAGGAATTATCAAAATGATTTTATGGATACAAATAATTTTTCAAATAGACAAAATAATGCTAGAACACCTAGAAGAGAGAATCTTCAAAATGCCCAAAAACCAATATTTTCTCAAAATAGGATGAAAATGGTTAGACCCCCTAGCTATTACCAACCTAGGCATATGTTCAACCCAAATGTAGTATGCCATTATTGCAAAAGGGTAGGACATATAGCTCCCGTGTGTTTCACTAGACATAGGCACTTGACCTTTAATGAAACACACACCATATTTAGTGCTGACGAAAAGAAATCCTTTGGAAAAGGATATTCGAATCATAAACAATCTCCACAGGATAGTGCACAAAAGAAACCGTATTATTTCTTCTACTTTGACGAAAAAAAGAAAGTCCACATTCCGTTACCGGAACCAACACAGACCACACCGAGATATCGGCACTCCGTTCGGGTAGACTGGAACCCGCCAACCACTAGACAATGGGTTGGCCAAGGTAACTCCTAAACAATCATTTAATTGTGTGTGTGTGTGTGTGTGAATTTTGGGTGTGTGTGGGCAATAAAGGTCAACTAACCCCCAAGGACCCATAGACATACTTTGGGTACCAAAGTGTTATTTTTTTTTGCAGGGACGGTTCAAAGTGAAGAATTCTGGAAATTAGGGGGAACCAGCGATGGGTGGGCAATACCATCGCTGGGAGCGAAGTTTTCTTTTTTTCAGAACCCCTCTTCCCATCGATGGGTAATTGACTCTATTTTTAAAAAAAACCTTTTAACGGATTTCCAGAAATACCTTACCCATCGATGGGTATTTCATTCCATCGCTGGGTGAAGGACTTTTGTCGAAATTTTTCTTTCAAGAAACACCCTACCCATCGATGGGTCTCTTATCCCATCGCTGGGTGAATGATTTCAGTTTCAAAAATTTTTTCCAGAACCTCCCTACCCATCGATGGGCACTTTCTCCCATCGCTGGGTGTTTGACATTTTTTTAAAATCTTTTTTAAACGTATTCCCAAAATCACCAACCCAGCGATGGGATGGTATTAACATCGTTGGGAAGGCTTTCGTCTTTTATTCTTCACTTTCCAGAACCCACCTTCCCATCGATGGGAGAGTCCACACATCGCTGGGAAGGCAGTCTGATTTTCTCCTTCGCTTTCCAGTAGCGACCTTCCCATCGATGGGTAGATCCTACCATCGCTGGGAAGGCGGTTGAAGTTCAAAATTTCAGAACCGTTGGAGACAGCATTTATGGCCCAACAGCTCCTTTTTTCAAAATTCAAACGGGATTTCCTCCTCTCCCTATATATTCACATCATCCCTTACCTTCTTAACACACAATTAACATCATTATTTCATTTCTTTAGCCTATACCACTTATTCCTTCAATCTTTCTTCAAAAACGCCTCAATCATGGCCGGAGGAAGATCAAAGTCTAAGGCTTCTAAGAAGAAAAGCACCGCCGAACCCTCAAGCTCCGCGCCTCCTCCGTTCCCATATTTGGACGGATCATTTCTTGAGTTCGGGTCGGAGGAAGAACTCACACGCTTCCTCACTCACTTTGCCAAGTGCCCGTTCTCTCCACCTCGAGTGCTCCCGGAGTTGTTTCCCCAAGACAAAGGGTACCACGACCTCGACAACCAACTCCAAGCGTCGGGCTTGTGGCCATTCGTCTCCAAGAGCCACTCGAGCTTCAATCCCGCCTTCGTCCGGGCTTTCTACTCCAATCTCCGTCGTGACGGGGACACCATTCGCAGTAGCATCAATCTATACGACATAGAGATTGATTTGGCTACCTTTGCTCGGGTCGCAGGGCTGCCCATCCGCGGTGACGACATCGCAACCTATGGTGGCGACGATTGGATCCTCAACAACAAGGCGGTCGTCATTCGTGAGCTTGGGATCACCAACTTGATCCGCCACAGCGGCGCACCGACGATTCACTCGGCCCCACCGGACAAGCGCCTCCTCCTCTACATCATCGCTCGGATTCTTCGCCCCCGGGACAGCAGCCATACCTCGCTCTTCAACGAGGACTTGAAGGCGATTCATTCAATCATCCACGGCGCCTCCATCAATTGGGCGAAATTCGTGATGATCCACATGGCGGATTGCGCCTCCATCGCCACTGAGCGGAGCTTGCCATACGCCTTCCTCGTCATGGACCTCATCATCTCCGCCGACATCTCCATCGCCGGCCCGGATACGAAGATGACAAAGATTTGGATAATTCAAGACAGCACCTTCCGGAAGA